GAAAATCGAAAATTCAGTGAAATAGTCATAAATCAGCTTCAATAGCCTATGGGTACGAATCCTTTTAGACTTTGACTATTGACATGGAAGTCTACTTGTGGGCAAAATATGAGCTCGAAGTCGAGGGGACACTTCGAGTGCTTCTCTCGTTAGTTGTATCTATAAATATTTGTTTGAAATCAAACTAAAAATAAACATTAGTATTCTTATGTAAATTTGTACATAACTTCGGTTTGGTTTTATTCAGAATAGAGATAAAGTTTCTAAAACTCAGAAAAAAAGACATCTACGAAGAAAAAAACGTCTCCCTTTTTTGGAGACAATAGCTAATTCTTGTTGGAAATGGAAGTCAAACATTTTCTTTGTCAAACACAAGCTGATTTTTCTTGTGCGTTCGAAAAAAACCTCCTCTTTTAGAGAAAATCAATGATTCTCTCTGAAAACTTCAAAGAAAGTGATCTTGTATGTAAACTTTTCCTCTATTTGCTTTATGAGAAATACCGAAAAAGTCATCATTTAGTGGCCAACGAAGTTTTGTTAAAGAGTAAGGCTAGAAACAAAAGAAAAATTATGAGAAAGAAATCATCCCGTTTTGCTTCTACAATATTATAGTCTGCTATTGTGTTCGCAAAGAGACTTTGTCAAAAATTTATTTTAACACTTGCTTACAGATTCCTAATCTACCTTTCTTTTAAATCACTTCGCTAATGATTCAGCATTTGATATGATTATATTGTTCACAAAAAGTATTCATTGAAAGTGATTTCATAGATGATATTAAGTTCACTAAATCAAATAATATTTAAATGATGAAAATGAATGAGTTTATATAAGTCATTTAATCTTTATTTTACATTGAATAGCAATGAATTTCGCCTTCTACGACACTGTATTATTTTAATGTCATTTTTTGCCTTCTCAGTGTGTGTGGATCTATATTAAAATTACAATAAAATTTTAACAACAATAATTCACTTGACATAAACCAGTTTTCTTAACATTTTAGAAACTTCCCAAAATTATATGCTGATTTCTATAAGTTTTCTGAGTATTACTTGTTGAATTCGTTCAAAAGTAATTGGTTTTTTTGTGGGGACGAGAATTGATATATCATTCTACTCATTTTTTGATGCTGAATTCAGTTTGAATGTCGCAATTTTATTTTGAGCATTGTTTTTCATATAAATAGGTGAAATCAAACCGAAAGTTAGCTAAGAAGAGAATATTCAACTAGACGAATGTGAGGAATTTTGTATTTGAAGAACTTTCAAAATTTACTGAATAGATTGATTCTGTTGAAGAAATAATGGTATAGGTTTTTGAATATCTATGTACCTCGAATACGCACGATGATGAGTTGTGTCACCTCTTCTTATCATTGACAGAGATCAAGTGCACTATTACACCAAGAAATACAGAATAGCATGGTCTTTCATGCTGCTTATATCTGAGCAACCTTTTAGAAGGTGGCAGAGTTCTAATTAAATCATACAGAAGCCTTCGTCAAACATACTGAGAAAGCATTACTTGACTGAAGATAAAAACGAAATGACACTCACAGTGCGTATTATTTCATTGCTATGGTTACTGAGTTGTCTCGAAATATTATTATTATGAAGTCATGCAAAGGTATATATTAGCCCCAATCCCAACTAACTAATTGGAACTCAGTTGAACAGTTGCGTAATGGAACTTGGTTGGTGCACACCTAACTATGACTATTAGGTTCTCTCATCAAACTAGGCAGCTCATTGTGAATATTTTGAAAATTCAACAAAATTTCTGAAAACTAATAATAGACATCGTATCATTAGTGAATGCTATAAAATACCAAACGAATGTAAAAACAAAATAGCTTACTATAAGTATCCAATCGAAAACCAATTTTTGTTGTGTATAGGCCACAATGAATATATTAAGGATTTGGTCAACAGCATAGATGCATCGTCGTATGATTTGCTAAAATATCAGATAAATACAAAATTTAAAATAGATAATCAAAATTTGTCTTTTATAAAGCTAATAAAGTTCGCGAACCTGTTTTTTTACGTTCATAGAGGAACTCGAGTTTTATATAATTAAACGTCAACTATTTGTAGGAGCTCTCAGGACCTTCTGGAAGAGGTTGAACTTCTTCTACTTCCATCCCTTCTCCTATCCAGTATGGTAACACCACTAGTTATTAGAGTTGTGATGATATCTCTCATAGGATGTTCTGTATAACTTTCCTGGAAATCGAATAGATTTTGTAAAATCAAAAACCTTTCTAGTATCTAATTTGATAAGTTTTCATTTTTCAGTTTAAGACCGGAAACATACACATTGCATCAACTGAGTATTCAGGGTTCGACACGGTATCTTATTTTACTTTCATAACTATCATGCTCATTATGGTCATTATCCTGATAATATATCTTTTGATTATAATGTCCGTCATGGTTTTTATGCTCATCATGAATCTCTTCCGAATTTTATAAACATCGAATAGGTTTCCTTCAGACTAATAGAAATCATCGAATTGCCCAGAATTGCCGCTCTTTATGACAGAATATTTTGAAACCTGAACAAAAATACTCGCATATATTTACTCACTATGCTTTCAAATAGTGAAATATAATTTTTTCATGATATAATATATTTTTACATGATTCAAATCAGTACCTCTTTTAGTAAATTAGTTGCTTTATTGGAGTTTTCTATCAAGTATAAATGTTCTTATTATCAAACAACATAATTTTTTCGTATGAAATGTAAATGAACATTTGACTTATGAGAAAATATTCTTAACTGGTCGGCTCTACTTATTTTTTTTGTACGAATTATAAGTGGATCTTTGTGAAGTTAAAAAAACATTGGCAAAAAACCAGTTCATGGCTTTTCTGAATAAGACTTGATATGCTCCCTGCCAAAACGACCATTATTTTTTCTATTCTCTTATTTATTCTAAGAAGTTGGGATCTTCAAGTTGCAGCATGGAATCTTCATTTTACTATTATATGAATTTAAACATTTTCCATGCAAAATTAAAATTGTTTCTTTCATCTTAGTATTTCGATCAAAAGTTACGTAAATGTATAACACCAGATCTTGCTAGAAGAAGACTAGGAGAGAAAAATGCTTTTATAGATTTCTTGATCTCATATAGACTTACTGATAAAAGTAATATACGTTAAAATGTATCTGACGATCAATAATACTTTCTCGTTAATTATATTAATTCACATGAATATAAAAAAAGTGACTTTGACAGAAAAGTTCTAAGTCTGAAGAAGAATATGACCCAAGACCTGTTGTTTATGATTATCTAAAAGAATTTTTTCTTGTTTCTCTTTCGAATGATAATATTGTATTATATTCAATACAATCTCTTGATATGTTGTGAACATTTTAATATATATTTTTTATTTTAAATTTTTATCTAATACACTAGACATGTACTTGTATGCAAGGAGAATAACCATTAGATGAAGGCAAAATACAATCCTACTTATTTAATTGTATTTTTTTAATTCCTTTTTTTCTACCAGATAGGTAATTACTAACTCTTGAAATGTCTGTCATTTAAATATTTGAAAAGAATTCTTACCTTTGATGGTTTTGTCTTCAATATGTTCGTTTGTTTCAGAATAACTCGATAGTTAATAAATAGATTCACATGAATGAGAATTATCATAACAATCCAGAGTTATTTGAAAATCGTGTCTGGGTGTGGATGCGAGTATCCCTTGTCTACCAATATCCACACTCACCCATTCACCCACGTACCCACACCCACACCCACCCACGTACCCACACCCACACCCACCCGCGCCCATATCATCACACCACCTAGCTCTTTTTCACTTACATAATTTACCTAAAAAAAGAAAACTTATCAATAAAATAATAATATATAAAAATAAAACATACACGAATAGTAAGTATATGAATATTATTATATCCAATCCACATTTGTTCGTTATATGCGTACATTGATTTTTGTACATCATCACATTTACGTATCCGTTGATCACTATTGAATTTTTCACAAATCTAACATAAATATTAGCATAATCAATAAATTTTTCAATATTTTTCTTCTTACTTCATAATAAGATAATAATCCTTTTTATCTTGCATATTTTTTTCAGGTTCACCAGATTCAAAAGTTGGTGCACTAATATCTGTATTAGAACTATTAAACAACTTAAATGTTCGTCCATACAGAACTAAACCCATATTTATTTTTTCTTTTGGCATTCAGTGTTGAATCCAATAATTAATTGTCCAATTACATTAATTTAATTTGAATTTATCTTCTAACCTGATTGAATATTATTTGTTTTTCATCTTATGAATTTGCATATAAAGGAGTGTGAAGTCTATAGTCATATCAATTAAAAGTAGAACTTAAATTTTGATTATTTTTGGAAAAATTTTATATATGTTGTTATTCATCCCCCATTTGATAGGTATTGTATCCATACATGAGTGATGTAGGATTATGTAGTATAGCGCTCCGCTAGTGCTTATACTATTGACATCGTTTCATTAACAATGGGAAGAAAAGAAATAAAATCAAATAAATAAAAATTGTCAGCTATGATATTGATTAGATTTTTATTCAGTCATGTTTCATTGCAAATAGATGAATGTTTAACCAATAGAAACAGTATGTCATATACTACTATCCTACCATATGAAATCAATTAATGCCTTATTTTTGTTATAAAAGATTGAAAAAGAAAATAATCAATTTGTAATGGAACGAAAATTCGAGCTTATTCTGTAAAGTATCCTTCTCGAAAAAAAAACTTTAGTTTTCATAAAAGGATAAATTTTGGAATTCACATATGGTTAGATATGCCACTTTTACAACCAATTGAATTGATATGGGCTTATGTCAAACACTATCTAGTCAATAAATTCAAACTTGGTCGCTCGACACAAAAATTGCGTGAAGATACATTACATGGTTTATACGATGAGGGTGTGGGTGTGGGTGTGGGTGCGGGTTAAGATCAGAGCAGCACTGCAACCACACCTACACCCTGATGAATACTTGATAGAATTGTATTTAGAAAATTTTTAAACGAATTTTTTATATCTTCGTTTGTTGGTATAGGTAATTTACGTTTATCATCAATTTCAGCTAATGATCCAATATTAAATGTAAATTTATTTAAATTTGACATGGCATTAATAAAACGTGTAGATAAGATACTACCATCAACAATCGAATGACCAACCATTAAAAATTCTAAATAAAGTTCATTTAAATTTGACATTCGACGTAAAAGATTAAGAAGACCGTTTTTGTCACGGTCATATAAATTATTCATATAAGTAATTGAGGAACAGGTCAAATTCGACATCTTATCCTACAAAATAAAATGATAATTAGTATTCTTGTAAAAAAAAAGAATATTGATGAGCCACTTACTGATTTGTGCATGTGATTTAATGAATATAAATCATGAAAACTGTATATTCTTACATATAAATGAGTAAGTCGATCGAATTTAACATCAAGTAAAAAAAGACAATCGTTAAACGTATCGACTTCGATATTTAATTTCGATATATTTGATGAAAATGAAACTGAATCGATATTATCAAATCCTAATTGTTCTTGTTCAACAATTGAGCCAAATTTTACATATTGTAAATTCGTAAACATGGTGCAAGATTGTTTGAATAAAACTTGAGGCATTTTCATACTTTCTAACATTTCGTCCGCGCTCTCCAAATCAAGTACATGTATTTCTCTAGTAATGCTTTTTGTTTTAATAATCAAAGTTTGAATTTTTGGACCAACATTTTGAAATAATAAACTATTATCTAAATAAAGAAATAAATATTTGAAAATTTTTATTAAATTAAAATATTTTATTTTATTTCGTTTAAAAATAAACCGGTCTTAAATGATCTTCATTTAAATTCTCTTATAGATTATGGTGGAACAGATGATAATATCTTACCATCAAATAAATTAATTGCTGTTGATGATGTTACATATAAAACAAGTGTCTTTAAGTTTGGATAAGTTGTTGAAAAAAGAATTTGTTCTATAATTGATGCATCAACACCAATACATTGAATTTTATGATGAATCGATGGTAAAATTTGTGAAACTCGATCAAGTATGATATCATTATTAATTGAGCATGATGAATCATTCAACGATGTTAATGCTAATTGTTTTTCAATTATATGATCGATAATTAAATTAAATTGTTTATTGATATTGATGAACGAATAAATCATATGATGATGGTGCAGGTATTTGAAAATTATCAAAAGAATTTCATTCGGTAAATCATTCAGTTGAGAACGTGAATGTTACATATGTATAACTTCACTTAATGCTTCTTTTTTTGCTTGGAATATAATGTACTTGTGTATGTTTCGGTAATTCTCTGAAACAAAGACATAGGATAAGTCGAGCAATAGGAAATCTGCTATTATTAGTTCGCTTCTTTTGACAAGACTAGATATAACTTTGATCAAGTACACAGAGAAAATTATTCTTTATCGATCTATGTTCATAGATTTTTTTTTTAAAGTGGTAAGTATCGAGAGACAACATCGTCCATGATGAGATTGGAGCGATCTCTTTACGGTATATTTTGTTTTTAGTGGGTAGAATCTTGAAACTTCAGCTTAAGGATGACAAACGAACACTTAGCCAGTTTCTTTATATCTATTGTGACCCGGAAATTCTCGGTATGAATCCAGAAAAAAATATTTTTCATCTTTCAAAAACAACCTTTACACTTCCGACATGAAAAAATAACGACATAATGAAAACAACTGTTTACAATATTTCCCTAGATAGTGAGCGCGAGACGCACAATCACTTAGAAAGACATATCTCGAAAGACTGCGTCTCATTGTACTGCCTAGCATTCAACTTAAGAATTTTTTTTATACCGGCTCATATTCTTATTAAGTTGAATATTATCACTAGTTAATACAATGGTTTCTGGTTGAGGGTGGGGTGTGGGTGTGGGTGTGTGAGGGTGTGGTGAACAGAAAAACTGTACCCATACCCATACCCACACACTCACACCCAGACTCACCCATCCTCACCCAAATCCCATGCCCACACCCACCCACACCCTCACTTCACACCCACCTGACCCGCACCCACACCCACACCCACATCAACACTCCACACTCACACCGACACCCACACCTACACCCTTTAGAGTAATTTTTCTCGTAAACGTAAGCACTACTGCATAGATATGAACTCGGTACGTGAGAAGCAGAAAAAAACACAAATTATACATTACCACGTTCTATTGTGAATGATGATAGGAGCTGTCTTGTAACCACTGCACTAAATAAGGGTGTACTGTTGAATGTAGAGGTGTAAGCCGATGACTGGATCGGCGGCGGCTCCGACGCTTAGGCTATTCGGCGGCGCTCAAAATTTCAAAACTTTTTCGCTTATTAGCAGCGGCTGGATTTTTCTCAAAAAAATTGCCAGCGACCGCAGCTCAGTCGATCAACTTACACCTCTATTGACTAGTCCAAAGTAAAATGAGGATAATTATAAAAATTTGGTTTTCGTTCGAAACAGGTATCGGCGACAGCACGGCTGCATTTTTTTCTTATCGGCGGCTCAGAAATTTTTTGAAATTTTCGCTACCTCGATGGTGGCTCAATCGATCGCTTACACCTCTGGTCATGAGATGATTGTTTTTTCTTCGCTGATATTGGCTACGCCATACCGGGATGACTTCATGACAAGCCTCATATTGAAACAGAAAATACATAAGGTTTGAAACAAAAAACTGCAAAATATTGCTTCAATTCGTGATAAAAAATAAAATTTCGGGTATCAATTTTTATTAACAAAAACTATGTTCGACAATTAAGTTGAGTGATAAATTCGAAGAGAAAAAAGATAATTGTACGATTATTTTGAAGAATTGTGCTTAGTATTTTTATTTGTCTAGTTGGGGAAAAACAAAAGTAAAAGCCGAAAATTTCTGAAGTTCGTAAAACAAAACTGTTATTTAATTAAAAGTGACACAATAGCACCAAAACAGTTCAAGATAATTGCAACAATCCCTAGTATTGCAGCTACACCTAACTTTACTTTAACTACACTTTCAAAAATTATATGTGTACCATTGATACCAACTGCAACACCAATAATTCCCATAATAAGACATGCAAAAACAAAACTTTTCGCAGCCAAGAGTAATGTTTGACTCGCATTGTTTTTTGCTACTGCAGACACATATAAGTATAAGGCAGAAATACCAGACGTAACACATGCTAAAGTAATAAAAGCTCTGCTGACCAAAATTCTCTTACAGATATTGGATTCAGCATAACTTAATGAGCACGGTAGATCAAAACATTCCGTTGTGTTCTCATTCAAAGAACAGGATCGCCAGAGACCAGATGTAAATTCAACATTATTAATTTTAATTTTACTCCTAAAACATAGAAAACACATAACTGAATAACACTCATTAGTTAAAAAATAAAAGATGAAGATAATTACATACCATGTGGGAACGAAATTACTAACCATAAAAAATATAAATACCAAACCTAAAAAGCTACCGACAATAATACGTAATGTTCGAATATTTGATAGCATGTTTCGAAATTCAATGTGCATCGTGTTCTTATTGACAAAATGATAACATCTAATAAAAATGTAGTTGTAGAATAAAATCTCATATCATGCTCCTATTCCTATCTACAGGGTTTCTGTAAAGTAACTTCCTATTTTAAATTCTTTATTACTCTCAAACAACAAAAGATATCGTAGTCATTTTTTCATTGTTATGAGGCATGTACCATAAGATTTTATGGTATATGGAACAAGCCGATTGATCACATGACTACCTAAGACCAAGCACAAATTTTCTCTAGAAAAGATATGACAGTAACTCATTATTTTATTTAGTTTATTTTTCTTCTATCACAATAGGTACTATAATGATTCCTTTAGTATTTTGAAATGTACATAATATTATTACATATAATGTCTCAAAACGTCTATATAAATTCCTCCTATGTCTGTACACTACTGTAGTTACTATAGTACCTATTGTCATATAAGAAAAATAAACTAAACAAAATAATGAGTTAGTGTCAGGTCTTTTCTAGAGAAAATTCGTGTTTGGTCTTAGACAGTCATGTGACCAATCGGCTTGTTTCATATACAATAAAACCTTATTAGCACATGCTCCATAACAGTGGAAAAATAGCTACGATATCTTTTTGTTGTCTGAGAGAGTAAGAAAGAATTTAAAATACGGAGTTACTTTACAGACACCCTGTATATATTGTTGGTAATAGTTATGATGAAATCTTAATGTCGATCATATCTATCCTCATAAAGACTTCTTTGATAAAAATGAATTATTAACCATCAAGTCATGATAACTGAAAAGATTTATGAATTTATCGCATTTGAGTTTTTTTTGTGTAAGTTGTAAAAACATAATACATGGAATAAAATCACTCGAAAAAGAATATTACTACAGTGAGATACTTTATACTGATATCAAAATTGGTGGAAGTGTTTTATACAAACGCTATTTACTTAATATGGAAGTATCAATGATGTTACAAATTTTATATTTTTCTTGAGTATACATAGAGTTGGGCAAGACTATCGAACTGATATAAAACGAAAAAACAATTCTTTTGATTGAAATAAATGACTACCTATACAGAGAATTGTTAGATGTGAATATTAGCAAGACTACATTACTTTACATTAGCTAATTTTTTGCTTCGTGACAGTGTGGGTGTGGGTGTATATAAAGAAAATCATACTCACACCCACACTTCACCCACCTAAGACTAACACCCAGTTCTAGAGGAATGAGTAGAAGGATGATTTATAATTGTGTTGCAAAATATACAGATCAAGATAATCTTTCTGTAACAACAAGAGCATTTATATTTTACAGGAATCTCGTTAATAACTTTATCATAGATTTTGGCGAATAAAGTTGAGTTGAAGTGTTAGTGTGGATATAAATGAATAGAGTCCGATATGCGCACCCAGAGCCTACTCACATCCATACCCCTTACACGCACCAACGCACGTGTCCACACTCAACTTTGTTTGTTCCGCCTAGGTTCGGTACTGGATCTTCTTTTATCATAAGACGTGAATGTATGTAAAGAGAAGAACTAAATCTAGAACCTAGACATGTTGTCACAGGTCGACAAACGATTCGATCAATTTTACACAAAAGAATCTCAAATATTTCTTTTCCTTGACCCAAAACACTGTGCTCAATAATTCATCCGATCCATGAAATTCATTCCTGAGAGTTCGTTCAAAATCATTTCGGCTATTCAAGATTGGTGAGTTTTTTTTCAAAAAGAGCTTCTGAAATTCACAAAATTAGATAGCATTGATATAAATCATGGTAAAGTGAAAACAGGGTGTGGGTGTGGGTGTGGGTGTGGGTGTGGGTGTGGGT